AAGTAATTAAGTTCGTCCCAAATTTTGACGAGTCTGATCCTGAGGAATATTTCGGACAGTTTGAGCACGTGGCAACCACTCTGAAGTGGCCACGCCACTACTGGCCCATACTTGTTCAGTCGAGTCTAAAAGGGAAGGGTCGTTGTGTCTATCTCTCTCTGGCTGGATCGCATCAGTCCGATTATGACACCATGAAGGATGCGATTCTTAAAGCGTATCAGTTGAGTGCTGAGTTTTATAGAAACCGGTTTCGGAATTGTGTCCAAGATAATAACCAGTCATTTGTAGAGTATATGCACAAGATTTCTAAACTGCAAACTCGTTGGTTATCTGCAAGCAATGTTAGTGATTATGAAAGATTAAAAGAACTTATGCTGTTGGAACAATTCATAAGGGGAGTGTCGCCAGAAGTTCGCATGTACCTGCTGGAGCGTGAAGTTAACACCGTTGAGAGAGCAGCTTTGTTAGCTGAGAATTTTAATCTGATATCTAAAAGTAAAGTAAATATAAATAAATACTCTCACCCCTCCGCTTTCGCTCCGTCTGTGGATGGTAAGTCTGTTGGGCGGGATAGCATGAATTCTGATTTTGTAGCAAAGAAAAATGGCTATGGTAAAGGTATGGGTTCAGGATGGTCGTCTGGATGTTTTTACTGTAAGAAAATCGACCATATTAAGGCGAATTGCCCCAAATTATTGAAGAAGGGACAAGTTTCAGAGCCTAAACCTGTAGCTAATTATACTTTTGTATCTACAGACAATGTCCAGGGTCTGCCGCAGCGTCCCTCGGTTGATGATCATGATTCATTTCATCCTTTCATCTTTTCTGGTTCCGTGGCCTTAAATGAAGCTGGTTCATCTGTCCCTGTGTCTGCATTTCGTGATACTGGTGCTTCATACAGTGTCATTTTGAAGGAGGCAGTTCCTTTTGTGGAAAAGGCATACACTGGGAAATTCGTAGTAGTGGAAGGTTTTGGAGGGTGTGTTACAGTGCCCCTATGTAAGTTGTATCTAAGGACGGATTTGGTGAGTGGATCTGTTGTAGTTGGCTATTAAGGGTGTATAATTTCTAATGGGGAATGATATTGCGGGGATTCGAGTTCTGCCTGATCCTGTTGTTTGTCCATCCCCAGTTGCTTATGATCCTGCTGTAGATGTTGCAAGAAATAATCCAGGACTTTTTCCAGCATGTGCTGTAACGAAAAGCCAGGCGAAGAAGTTGCCAAGGCTTTCTGCTGGAAATGTTGGACAGGATGATCTTAGTCTGGATTGTCTATTTGGTGATGAAGCTGCTGTTGAGGTAAATGGTGATGAAGCTGCTGTTGAGGTAAATAGTATTGAAGTTTCTGCTGGGAAAATTAATGATATTGGGGAGGTAGTTAATGTTGATGAGGTTCCTATAACAAGTAGGATGTTAATTGAAGCTCAGAAATCTGACGAATCCCTAATGCCACTACTTAATGCAGCCATGTCGAAATCAGAGATTCAGTCACTGTCATCTGGGTATTATCTAAATACTGGGATATTGATGAGGAAATATAGACCACCTGAAGTACCAGCAACCGATTTGTGGAATGAAGTTTTTCAAGTGGTGGTACCAACTTGCTATCGATCTAAAGTTATTGGTTTGGCTCACGACTTAGGAGGAGGCCACTTGGTTATCAAGAAGACACTTGATAAGGTCATCAGATATTTCTATTGGCTAGGTATTAAGTCAGATGTAACAAAGTACTGCAGAACTTATGACATATGTCAAAGTTATTCCACCTGCACCTCTTAAGCCTATTCCTGCATTTGAGGAACCGTTTTCAAGGGTAATCATTGATTGTGTTGGACCTCTTCCCAATAGGTTTTTGCTTACTCTCATGTGTGCTAGTACTAGGTATCCTGAAGCAATTCCTTTAAAGCGAGCTACATCTCGTACTATTGTCCCAGTCTTGATCAAATTTTTTACACAATATGGTATGTCACGTGTATTACAGTCAGATCAGGGAAGCAATTTTTGGTCGGTAATGTTTCAGGAAGTAATGAAATTATTACACATTAAGCAGTATAGTGCCACAGCTTATCGGCCACAGACGCAAGGTGCCCTTGAAAGATACCATCAGACACTTAAGAGTATGCTCACGAAGTATTGTCAGGAAACGGGTAATGAATGGGATCTAGGAGTGCCTTTAATGCTGTATGCTATAAGATGTACTGAGCAGGAGAGCCTAGGGTTTTCACCATATGAATTGCTTTTTGGGAGAGACATCCGCGGACCCATGAAATTGTTATATGAAAGCTGGATAGGTTTGGAAAATTCAGTTTGTCCAAGTGATTATGTGGAAAAAATGAAAACCAGGTTGCAACATCTTCAAAAATATGCTCATGAGAATCTAGAAAGTGCACAGTGGTCAATGAAGGAAATATATGACAGAAAGGCAGCTGAACGAGAATTTGCTGTCGTTGAAAAAGTGCTACTGTTTTTACCTGTTAGAAAACAACCATTAACTGCTAAATATCAGGGACCTTTCAAAGTGATGGAGAAAATTAATAACATTAATTATATAATTGCTACTCCAGATTCGCAGGAAAAAGAAAAAGATAGTTCACATCAACCTCAAGAAATATCATTCGCGCAGACCAGATGCTGTGACTGCTTTGTGCCTGATCTCTGGTCCTGAGGAGCGGGGAGATACTACTATTTCAAATGAGATGGAAAGTGAATTTGTTGTAGGCGATGTTGGGTTCAAATTGCAAAACAGTGACATCTTGAAAAATCCAGCCTCTATATTTTCTCATTTACCCCACAAACAGCAACAGGATATCTTGTGTGTGCTCCAGGAATTTAGTGATGTTCTTGGAGATGTGCCGCGACAGACGCACCTGGTGACCCATGACGTGAAGCTGGTAGACGGGGCTATCCCCGTCAAAAAGCACCGTATAGAATGTCTCCTTATAAGGAAAAAAATATGGAAAAGTAGGTAAGCTTTCTGCTCAAAAATGGTCTTGCTGAACTTAGTGAGAGCGAGTGGGCATCACCCTGTGCACTCGTGCCAAAACCTAAGGGTTGGAGAATGGTGACAGACTATAGAAGGGTCAATGAGCTCACAAAAGGGGATTGTTATCCTTTGCTTAGAATATTGGATATAATAGATTCCATTGGGGAGTCCAAGTTTATTACTGTAATCGATTTACTGAAGGGCTATTATCAGGTACCCTTGTCACCTGAAGCGAGGTAGATAACAGCATTTGTTACACCTAATGGGCTTTATAACTACTGTGTGCTTCCTTTTGGCTTAAAGAATGCGCCTAGCTCATTTCAGCGACTGACGGGTTCAATAATACGAGGACTCAAAGGGGTAAAGGTATACATTGATGACCTTGTAGTTTACAGCAGTAAATGGGAAGACCATGTGGCAACATTGCGATCCCTCTTTGAACACCTGCAAGATGCCGGGCTCACTGTTAATTTAGTCAAGAGTGAGTTTGCACAAGCTAAGGTGAGGTATCTCGGCCACGAGGTTGGAGGAGGAGAGGTTGCTCCAGTTAAAGCCAAGGTAGAAGCTATCAATGAGTTACTTGTACCTAAGAATAAGAGAGCAGTTCAAAGATTCATTGGTATGGCTGGGTACTATCGTAGGTTTTGCCCGAACTTTGCTGACGTAGCCAAACCCTTAACAGATCTTTTGAGTCCAAAGAAAGAATTTAAATGGACGGTTGAATGTCAGGAGTCTTTCAAGAAGTTAAAGAACTTTCTAACGTGTGAACCTGTGTTGAGGTCTCCAGATTTTGATAAACCTATTACCCTCCAGGTAGATGCTAGTGTACGTGGCTGCAGGATCAGTATTGTTGCAGGCAGGGAATGGTGGGGGTTCTGCACCCGGTCTACTACTCTTCTGCGAAGTTCAAGCCGCACCAAACGCACTACAGCACGGTCGAGAAGGAGGCTGCCGCTCTTCTCATGGCTCTTGAAAAGTTCGAGGTGTATTTGAGCTGCACACCATACGAGATCGAAGTCTTTAGTGATCACAACCCACTTCAGTTTGTGACGAAAATGAAAAACAAAAACCAACGTCTTACCAGATGGTATTTAGCGTTGCAACCTTACCATCTAGTGATAAAGCATATCAAGGGTCGTAATAGGATAATAGCGGATAGTCTCTCCAGACCAGGTTAATGAGTATAAAACCCGATGGGTTTATCTTTGTGGTGGGGGTGTTACAGAGTCCTAAAATATACGGAACTCTACTTTGCTAAAAACAAAAGTTAATCATGGAAATACGTTTTCCAAAGTATTCCCGTTTTCTAACGATCAGCTGTGTTTGATAGTTCTGGGTATGGGTAGTGACAGCAGAGCGGTGGTGAGGTAAGGAGCTCTTTGCGGGGATTTGTGGAAAGGGCACTTCTAGGGTCATATGTTTGTTAAATATTTGTTAAATGATTGTCTATAGCTATGTTTTGTTCCAACATCCATCCAGATAAGAAATTAAAACAGGAAATGGTACAATTGGTAAAAATATTAGATTATTTGCCAGACGGCTGCTCCGGCAGACTGCAGCATTCTTTTAGGTACATATTTTTTTTTGCTTTTCCTTATTGCACACTATTGTATTTATTAAACTTTAATTATTGGTAACAGTTTGTTTCAAGTCCTTATTATTGGAAAGAAATTGTATTCTACGAAGGATAATGCTCGTGAACAAAGAGAAATGATAACGAGTGGTATGGATAATGAGAGAAAGGGAATTTCGTTAGTAAATAATTAACCACTCATACACCTAGATCTAACATATGGGGGCCTGACCAAACGTAACTGAGACTGAATCATTGTAAAGGTTTTCTTATTTGGATGTTTTATTAATTCGATTTGCAGTAATCATGAGCGCATTTAAATTTGACGAGTTTGTGGAAAGTCCTTCACTAGAGGCTATTGAGGATTGTGACTGGGTTCAGTTAGCTCGACATTTTGACGTAACAATTCGAGCAGCGTGGCGCAAGAGTGAAATTAAGAAATAA